AAGCTCCCAACCGCTCCTTTTTTTCTTTTTTTTTCTTTTTTATTCTGGGTCAGCTTTAGCTCTGAGGACTCGGCTGCTGAAAACAGGTTTCTGGCCTTTGTTTACCTTCTGTATTTGATACCATGTTACAGTCCGGCTGGCTGAAGCTCCACTGAGTAAAGCAGGTTTCTGGGGTATTTTTAGCTTCTTTATTCGCAACATAGTTGCTTAGAGTTGCAGCTGAGAGGCAGGCAAGTCAGGCAGGAAACGTTGGAGTCCTCCATCACTGAAGCAAGCAAGCCTCCCTGTTCGCATAAGCTGCCTGGCTGCCCGCTGCCATCTTGGCTGCCAGTTAATTTGCATATCTCAGCCCTACTCTGTGAGTGACAGGGGATTAGCCAATGGGAAGGGCAGTGGTCGTACGCCAATTACCGTGTTTCTCTTTTATTAGTGTAGACTAGCTAATTACAAGGATATAATTTTCTGTCTTGCTCTTGCTCTTTCTAATTTAATTCAGAACCACAACAAATGGAAATATACACATTTAATTCATTTTTTATGTTATAATTTTTGTTAATTGTTGACAATTATCTCAGCGGTTTTTACTAATTTATTTTCAACGCAGGAATGTATGATTTCCAATTTCCACAAATAATCATCAAAATTTAATTCCTTTAAATGTTTACTAGTCTGACAGTGGTAAGATGAAGTGTCATTACATTGGATTTCATTACCCTGAATGATAATTTTTAAAAATCTTTTCACATATTATTTTATTTTATAAACAAAATTTCTGTAGCTCCATATCCTGAGAAAAGAGCTACACAAATATTAAATTAGGTAATCATCATTAGGAACCTATGAAGCAGGTACTATTGTTTGATCTGCCAATATTTGGTGTCCAGAAGCATATTAAAATCTTATTCAATGTTTATAGAATTTTACTTTCATTTCTTTAAGTGTTTTCTCTATAAATTTAAGGGTGCATTATTAGTGTATATGTACTGTACAATAATATTTAGAAAGTTTTAGTATATGGTTTTTATCTTCATTTTTTGAGTGACCTTTTTATCCCTGCTAATTTCTTTTTAATTATACTTTCCCCCAATATTAACATATCTTTTCAAATATATTTTTGGTAGAAGTTGTATGGTTTTTGCTCTTTGTATCCTTGTATTTTCCACTTTTCTCTGTTATTATGCTTTAGTTAAGTCTCGTGTAAGTATAGATTTGAGAGTAGTTTTCTTTTCATTGTTTACTGCTTGACATGACATTTAATTATTGATGTAGATTTATTTCTCATTACAGAGTTACTTCCATTTTACCATGCAGATTATTGGTTTTATTCCAGTTATTCCCTTAATTTGTTATCCTCTGATTACATTTTCATCTTTTTTGCATTAATTCATAGTTTGTACAAAAGCTACAAATGAAATGCAAATTTGAATATATATTTTTTGCCCTCCACCTGGCAATTATTTGGTTATATATAAAATTGTAGGGCCACTGTCAACGTAAGAAACATTCAAGCCTATAGAGAATTTTTGTAAGCCAAACTATCGACAATTTCTGGGAAGCAAAATCTCAAAGGATTGAGAAAATGCTCCAGAGAATGGCAGTTTTTCACTTTTTAATACATTACAATAAAAAGAGAAGATATAAGTGGGTCACATAAAATCCACTGGTGATAGATTTGAAAGCAGGAGAAAGAAAAGTGGGAAACCTCTGGGATTGGATAAACAGTAAAATGAAAGATACAACTTCTTTTACGTAGGTGGGTACAGGATAGTTAACAGTCAACAATTAACTCAATAACCGTGAAGGGATTTGTGGTCTCTACAGAGTGATGCCTGAACGTGAGGGGTACAGAAAAAGGAAGTTATTTTCATATCCAAAAGTATGTTATCATAGATGCAAAAAGACAATAAGCAGGCTTAATTAAGGTGAAAATTGATCTTTGTCAGACAAGATTTCTAGCTAGGATATGACTACCCACCATAAACTGCTTTTAGTTTAAAAGTTTTAATTTCAGATCATCCTTCGTGGTTATTTTAGGTCTCTGAGTTTGCAAAGTTGCCATAAAGGCCTCCTCTTCCTCTGTATACCTTTATCCAGAGTTCCAGATGAGTTGGTTGATGCTCGTTTACTTTCTTCTTCTAGGACACCTGTCAAGGAATTATAAATTCACATCTTACTAAAGACAAATAGTTCAATGAAAACATGTTTGAGAACATGTGTACCTCGTTTGAGATGTCAAGGACATCTTGGGAAAACCAAAGAGAAATAACTTATTAAGAAGTCATGAACTTGAATTCTCTAGCTTAAATCAATGAGAGGGAAATTTCTAGGGGGTGGGAGTCTACAAAGAATAAAGGCATCTAGAAAGGAGATTGATTTAATTTGCATGCTCTCTCTTTGCAACTGAAGTAAATGTAAAAGGATAACTTAGTGAAATTTAATTAAGGATTCTCCCTCTCTTCTCCCCTCCCATCCCCTCCTCTCCCCTCCCCTCCCCTCCTCTCCTCTCTCTCTCTTTCTCTATACCCTCAAACTCAGATACTAGTAAATCAATATTTGCTTTGAAAAGGCTATTGCACATTAAAACTGATGTGTATATCACAAGACACATGAGAAGTTGCAGTGAGTCTGTGGATTTGCTTTTTAAATCTTTCTAAATATTCTTATGCATCCTCTTATTCTGCTGGAACTTGGAAATTTGTAAAACATAAGAGATACGGAATTTGAATAATCAACTTTAAATGTAGGAGAAAAGCTCAGACCATTCAATAAATGGGCAAAGAAAATAGCTTCTAAAAAAGGAATAGGAATAATCATAATAACCTAACACAAACTTGGTAGAATTAAAGGAAATATTTAAAAAATTGTAGAAAATATATTTTATAGACTTTTTGTCTGTAAAATAAAATTGACTTAATTATGAGAAGTGGTTGATTTTTACTTTAATTTAAAAATCTAGCCACTAGTTTAGAGCACTTCAATTTCAAGTTTGACCATTTTCAATTTGGCTAGGCTATCATGAGATTTCTGCTATCAAACTCTATAATATTAGCAATAAGAGACATATTAATAGAGTATAAATTATGATAAATAGAATAAATTGAGTCTTTTCAGTTCACTGCATTATATAATCTCTAATCCAAATCAATTAATGTATTGTCTTGATCTTATTTTATTTTATTTTTTTTTTAGAATTCTGGGCACTTGATAAAATCCTTGAGTTGGTAAAGCAACTTTTCCATCGGTCTCATAGGATACTGAGGTACAGCATCAAGAAATGCACTTACAGCCCTAGCTGGTTTGGCTCAGTGAAGAGAGCATTGGCCCTCGGACTGAAGGGTCCCGGGTTCAACTCCAGTCAAGGGCATATACCTCAGTTGCAGGCTCAATCCCCCGCCCTGGTTGGGGGCACGTGTTAGAGGCAACCAATTGGTATGTCTCCCTCATATAAATGTTTCTCTTTGTCTCCCTCTCCCTTCCACTCTCTCTAAAAGTCAATGGAAAATATCCTCAGGTGAGGATCAACAAAAAACACCCTCCACAAAGAAGAAAAAAGAAAAAAGGATTATGAGGCCTTCATAATAAATGTGATAAAATCCATATCTCTGGCCGAAACCGGTTTGGCTCGGTGGATAGAGCGTCGGCCTGCGGACTGAAGGGTCCCAGGTTCGATGCCGGTCAAGGGCATGTACCTTGGTTGCAGGCGTATCCCCAGTGGGAGAGCTGCAGGAGGCAGCTGATAGATGTTTCTCTCTCATCGATGTTTCTAGCTCTCTATCTCTCTCCCTTCCTCTCTGTGAAAAATCAATCACATATATTTTAAAAAAATCCATATCTCTGAGTTCTGTGGAAAAATCCCTATGTGTCGAGGGTTCTTGAAAAAAAAAAAAGAAGAAGAAGAAGAAATGCACTTACAGCCCCATTAACCTAAAATAGGATTGTTTCTTAGCAAGACTCTTCTCCACTGTGAGAGACAGTAAAACTTCTCCTTGCCTCTAACCCTGCTTTTAATCCCACTGGGTTAATAAGTAAACCGGACTCAGTGAAAGAAATTGGCTACAGGCTCCTTAATACCTTCCCCATCATTAATCCATGCCTATGGATGCAGGGATAATAATTGGGCAGTTGCTCTTGGTGGCAGAAACTAGGAATGAGAAGCATAAACCTGTATTGTTGGAAGCACACACTTGCCCCTAGCATTGGTTTAATCTCAACTAACAGACTGTGTCTCAATATTACAGAAGTAATGAGGAGTCTGACTGTGTGATCCCTTGTGCCTGACCACAGGAAATTGCAAAGGCCTTGCCTAGCAGGCGTTGTGTGGGAAGGCTGTCCTCTCCACATAGGGCTTGGTGCACAGTCAATGCCTGGCAGTTTCTGGAAGGAGCTGCAGTCAAGGACTCAGTCCCTCACCCTGAGGGGGCATGCTAATCTGTACTCCTAGCCCAGGAGACCTTTTGGAGACCTTATTGGGGGCCTCAGCTGAGATGCTTTCCAGTCACCCTTACTGAAACCTTTTTATTGGGGGGAGGGGTTGTCTTGACTACGACATTCTTCATTCTGACTCAGTATTTTCCATTCCCAGTCCTTTCTGCCTCTCTTTTCTCTTCCTACCACCCCCCACCCCCACCCCCTGCCACTCCAACTCCATAAAAACTGCAAAGCCTTTCGTTCAGTGCTCCTTTGTAATGAGACACAACTTTCCCACCAGTACTGCATGCCACCTGATCCTGGTCTAGTGCTGGTCCATGGGGCAAATGGAAGAGTGAGGAGCCAGCACTACTTTCTTTTTTGGCTTCTTATACCATAACAGGTGGATAAAGTTTTGACTATTCTTTTAGTTTGGCTTGTCAATCTAATTGACCACCTCAACATCTGGCAACTCTCCACAGGGAAAGGAAAGAATCAATAGATGCAAAGATGAAAAAAGAAGTATCCATTCTTTGTGGTTCTAGGCTAGGGTATGAGCCTTTTTTGCTTAAGTAAAAATAAATTATAAGGTCAAAATTTATAACAGAAATTTTAACTTAGACCAGAATTAGGAGGGCCTGTAGGAGGAGATCTCTGGTGGTACAATTGGTTAGTATGAGGTACTTTAACAGCAGTGTATAGGTAGGTGATGTTGTCGTTTAAAAACCTCAAGTTTTGCCCAGCCAGCAATGCTCAGTGGTTGAGCCTGGACCTATGAACAAAAAGGTCATGGTTCAATTCCTGGTCAGAGCACATGCCTGGGTTGTGGGCTCGATCCCCAGTGGGAGTGTGTGCAGGAGGCAGCCGATCAATGATTCTCTCTCATCATTGATGTTTCTATCTCTCTCTCCCTCTCCCTTCCTCTATAAAATCAATAAAAACATATTTTAAAAAATAAACCTCAAGTTTTAAAACCATCAACATTCTGTATTGTTCATAATAACCACCATGGATCTGCATTCTATATATTGGAGGGGGGAATCTGCTGGTAATCAAAAATATATATTTGCATAGCCTTGCCTACCTTTTTAGATGAAGCTTCTTAAGATTGTAGATTTCACTGGTGGAACACAAGTATCAAATATTACATTTTTCTTTCCTGGTGACTAATTCCACATTTCCTTCATTTTCATAAGAAGTCTATATGAGCACAATAAAGCCAGGACTTTTATCTTTAAGCATTAGTTAGGGATGTTTCAAAGTTATGTGCCCTCTGTGAACATATGTTCAGAAATGTTTCTGGTCCAGCTTCTGTGGACACTTAAAAGTTTCTGAAAGAGAAACTATAATATTAAGTTTTCAATTCTGTCTTTGAGATCCAAATGGAAGAAAGCACCTCTGGTTTATGAAGAGCTCAGGATACAGAAAGCTTTAGTGGGTGTTTTTGGATAAAATAGTGGGGCCTTCAAAGTTTACTAAGAGAGTTGTCACATCATGATGTCAGACTGAGACTGGCATTGAAATCTGAGGCACTAACACCAGCAGAAACTCCAGGAGCCTCCAGAAGTCTACAATCAGGAAACCCTTACATAGGGCATAGATTTTTTTTTCTTCCTCCAGCTATTAAGGCACAAGGACTGGAAAGGTCACCTCTTGGGACATCTGCAGGTCATTCAGGTGAATGGTACCTTCTGAGTTACCTCCCTTCCCATCCCATTTACCTCTGAATCTAAAGTAAATAAAGGAAATGATCATGGTGATGAAGACAGTCAGAACACACAGGATCACCGTGATATCTTCCAACCACATAGTATCCAATTGGAAATGTGGATCTGAAGCAGGAACTGAGGAGAGATGCAATAATTAGGAGGGTCACAGATTTATAATAGATTTACTTTTCAAGTTCCTATTCCTCCATACTTCTGGGCTTATATGAGGGTGGGGAGAAGTAGGGTGGGCCTTGTGAATGATTCTGGAGATGAGAATACTTGGGCTCAGTCTGGAAGAGGGGGTGTAGGTACAGATACACATTCTTCTATTCAAGAAGCATGACACTGGTTTCTAGTTGGCCACAGTTTGAAGCATAAATAGGAACTTTATGTATTCTTTTTTTAAATGCCTTTATCTTTTTAATCTGGTGCTGTAGGCCCTCAAGAATTCCAGGCCTTGTCCAGCCAGTGTGGCTCAGTGGTTGAGAGTCGACCTATGAACCAGGAGGTTCTGGTTTAACTCCCAGTCAGGGAACATGCCCAGATTGAAGGCTCAATCCCCAGTAGGAGGCAAGTAAAAGGTAGCAGGTCAATGATTCCTTCTCATCATTGATGTTTCTATTTCTCTGTCTCCTTTTCCTTTCCTCTCTGAAGTCAATAAATTTTTTTTTAAAAAGAACTCCAGACCTTTTGAGAGGTCTTGTGAAACCAAATAGTTTACAATGATCAGAATCTCTGAGATGGAAGAGATCTTACAATTCTCAAAAGTCATCCTCTTATCTGGAGCAGAAGTCTCCTTTAAAGTATACTTTTTGGTGATTCTAAAGTAAAAAACATCTCCATCTCATAATATTGGTTAGTATATCTTGGGATGGGAGCACCATTGCCAACAGTGAGGGTATCTGTTTCATTACTGGACAGCTATTCCTACTTTCCTATATAAACTGTAATTTGTCTCCCTGATATGGATTGTTCATGGATTCCTAGTGAAGTGGTTCAGAACAGGCCTCCCCAGTATATATTACTTTGGCTTGGGGATTATTTTGAGCTGAAGGCAACAAATAATTTTATCTCTCCCTTAAAAAATTTAAATCGGGTCCTTGTCCATTATATGAGTTATTATCAGAGATAACCTTATATGACAGCTATAGGGCAGGGCAAGCTTCTAATTACTGAAAAGCTGCTCTTATTATTGTTCTGTGAATTGCCCTTCTTGCCTTATTCCTTGGCTCAGAATGTCATATACACCTCATTGTAGCTTTCTGTCTTGAAACCTCATGTATGTGGGCTCTCTGACTCTCTTATATGAGTAGGGTTCTTGCATATACAGATGCAGTTAAATTTTGTTATTTGTCCCTTTAATATGTCTCATGTCTATTTAATTATTAGACCAGCTGAAAGAACTTAGAAAGGGAGGGAATAATTTCTTCCTCCCACAACTTTTCTATCTTATAGAGAAAGACAACCAAGATGGTGAGGATGAGGAAGCGGGGGTCAGGAAGTCTTATATTCATGTCATCGAAATAACTGATAATATTGTCTTTAGAGAAGACTTAGCAGCATTATGATCGCTGGTCTCAACTTTCATATCATGAGGATAAATAAGTCAAAATATTCCATATGATCTTAGACTACACAAATGGAGGGGGTAGAATTCACCTACTAGTAATTAATATCTATTCCCCCCTGCCCTATAACTCGAGAGAAATTATTTGCCCTTGCTAAGGTCAGAGATTCCTTTTATAAAAGTAATAGCATACATTTTTTTAAAAATAGCCAAATTTATCTGGATAAGTGTGCAAAAGAGTGAAGTGTCAGAAAACTCTCTCTTGGTCACATACATCTATTTTTCTAACTATAACATTTAGGAGAACTTCAAACCTCTTCTCATAAAGCATAGGAAATAATTTGAAACAAATTTGAAGAAAAACTTGGAAATAAAATAGTCCAAAGATGCTAATAATATTTACTTAGAGGAGTGTGTGTGTGTGTGTTTAAATCTAAGCTGAGTTTTTATTTTATTTTCTTTCTATATGACTAGAGTTGTCTGTTGTTTAGAAGGCAAGTTAAGATCATGGTTGGGTGTAAGTGAAGAAATAATGGTATAAGCTAAGGAGGGAAGGGAAGAAGGAGAATAGCAAACACAGGCAGCCCAGTTTTCCTACCAAATGAGGTCACCAGAAAGGGATCCAGGGTAGAATTTCTAACAATTGCTAATAATAATGATAATAATAACAAACAGTAACATTGCTTGTACTATGTGCAAAGCCAGGTTAAATGATTTTGATGTATTGACAAATTTAATAAAAAAAAATAACCTTATAAAGTATGTATACAGTATCATCAATATTTAATAGATAAGAAAGCTATAGTTCAGAGACTTTATAAATAACATTGCCAAGTTCACATAGCTAATAGTATAACCAAGGAGGTCTGGCTCTAGTCTGGCACTGACTCTTGGAAAGAAATGGTGTATATCTCTAAGGTTTCACTGTGCATGAATTCCACAGAGAACAGGCCCAGCAGAATGTCTCTGTTGGAGATGCAAATGCTGGCTACCTCTTTCTAGAAGAAACAATTACCTACATTTTGGAAAGCAATCTGATTTATTATAAAGTATTCAGAATAAGAGACACGTGGTTCGAATCCCAGGAGTAATCTTATTACGTGCTAGGGCAACTGAAAACAGTGAATCACATTTGATGTTCTTCTGTATCTGCATTTCCAAGATGGAAAAAAATGACAGACATTGCATAGGATGTTACAGAATTAAGGTATACAATGCTTGTGGAACTTTCTGGCAATGCATATTTGTTAAATGAATTGATAAGTGATTTCTGAATTGATAAGCACCAAGAAGGAAAATTAGTCCAGAAAAGGCAGGATAGAGTGGGAGGCTGCTAAATGAGACGTTTACAGAGGAAGCAATATCTTCAGCAGAAAGTCCATTTTAGGTAAAGAGAAGGGTCAGTAGCCATTGGAGAAGAGGTTAGCAGATGGACAAGGTTTATAGCCTAATTATCAGGAGTTGTCAGCCATGTGGGCAGAGACCACTGCTATGACTCAATGTTAGGTTCTCAGCTAAGAACAAGCAAAAATAAAGTTTAATCTCCTGACTCATTCTTAAGGATTTCAAGTCAGTTTTGACAATGACAGAGACCTGCAGCCTATTCTTGGGGCTATGGGCTATCTCTTGGAAGCCTCATAAATCCCTAAGTGCCCAGGCTATATTTCCCTGCAGTGATCTATTTTTACAAAATGACTAGGCCTAAAGCTCTCTCTTTTTATTTCCATTTGATTTCTTTTCATAGAGGAGGAGCAGTAAAATTGTTGAAACAAGGCTGAAGGATTTAATTTCCTGAGCTGGGATCCCGGTTCCACCATCACTTAACTGTGTAAGTGAGCTATTTAACTTATTTGTGTACCAGATTTCAGCACCAATAAAATTTAATTCAGTGAAGAGTAAGTACAGTTGACTCTTGAACAACTCGAGGGTTAGGGACATAGATCCTCTGCACAGTTGAAAATCTGCTTTTAACTTTTGAGTCCCTCAAAATTTAACTACTAACAGCCTAGTAGTTAAAAATAGCAATTTTTTTTAAAACCAGAGCCTGTTCACCAGAGCTTTGTTGATCACACAATCAATCAACACATATTTTGTATGTTATACGTATCATATACTATATTCGTACAATAAAGTTAGAGAAAAGATACTGCTATTAAGAAAATCATAGAAGAGAAATCATGTACACATATTTTATGCATTCATGACATACCTCATTCTTTCTTATTTTAAAACATATTTCTAGGCTATAATGTTCACCAAAGCTAAAATGTTCTTTAAATTGTCACAAATCTCCAAAAAGTTTTACAATACATTTATTGAAAAAAAATCTACATAAAAGTTGATCCATACAGTTTAAACTCATGTTGTTCAAGGGTCAACTATATATGAATCTATGTAAAATCTGTAGAGCACACAATAAGTATGTAATATACTAGTATATTACCTACTATCATAACATTTTGCTTATTTCCTCTGACACGGATGGATGCGACATTTAGTTTTCTAACATGGTTAATATGCCAGACTCAGGTATGGACTTTCTTAGAGTAAAGTATAAAAAGCACTTCCAGTCTGGTTTGATGTAAGGTCATTTGTGTCTTCATTTCACAGGAGAAAATTAATAAATAAAATCCTCCAAATAATCAAGCCCTACTTTATGACTTCCACATCATGATGTTGCAGCTATAGCTATATCTTCAGTTTATAATAAAGAATTACCTTACCTTGCTGCTCATTGCCTTACATATATAATTTCCAGGGGGACCTCAAAGATAAGAGCTGAGGGCACATTTCAAATGTGTTAGCTTCAGCTATCCCACAACTTATACAATCACCTTTGTAATTTCACCCTCAAAGAGAGCTAGAGAGAAGGAAAATCAGTTTCATGTGTCCATGCACACCATGAAATTGAGCAATATATGTGTGAACATATGAATTTATTTTGAGAAGAGGGTCCTTCGCATAAGTCTCTAACAGAAATCTGTGACCGCCAGAAGTTTAAGATATACTGCACTATCTCCTCTAGGCTAAAAGTATGGAAAGAATTGGCATATTTTCTTAGGTGAAGTGATGGAGGACTGGT